CGGTTGCTCCGAGCCCTGCGCGGCCGAGCGTGCCGGTGGGATCCGGGCCCCTCGGAATCACCTCAGCGCTGTGAAGCGCGGGGTTGATTTACGGCCGTCGTTCAACGAAGATAACGTTGATAAAGTGCGTGTTGTGAAGGGAGAGGGCCCGTTTTCCAGCTCTAGCAGTCGCCGCTGTGACTGCGTAAACCACCGCGACATAGCCAGGGTTTGGAGTGCTGAGGTCTTTGAAAAGGCAGAAAAAAAAGGGAAATAGGGAAAAGTAGTTTTGCTATTTTCCCTTGGGGTTTTTTGGCCCAATTTCCTGTGGAAGCAAGATGGACCTTGTCAAAAAAGCTTGGGTTTCAGTGAAAATAACATTGCTAGCTGTTGGCCCATTCCAACCAATGTAAAAATACATGACCAGATAAGAGAGATGAGGGTTAGGGCATTCACCACTTCTTTCCCAGGAACTGCTAGTTCTGTTGCAAATTAAGCATAAAAGCCAAAAATACTTGCTCAAGGTGGCTATATGCAAAATTACAGAAACTCTGAATATAATTCAGTTAAAAAGGCAATAGGCCATGAAATTCAAATCTAGCAAGTTGGGCTATATTATTTCCAGTGGTCAGAAACTGTTTGTTTGTATGTATTTTGTTTTCCCCGCAGTCACACTACAAAACTTGTAAGGATAACTGAAAAAGTACTATTTGAAGCTGATTTCTCCTGAAACATAAAGGATTTGTTCCACTGCTGTTGATAGCTTCTGGCCATCTCCCTTAAAAAAAAAGGATATAGTATCAAAAAGTGGCAAGGGTGCTTTAAAAATAATCTTTAGCTGCGTTCCCCCCCCCTTTTTTTTTTCAAATGATTATCGTCCTTCCATTTTTGGCAATGCAATCTGTCTCTATAGCAACAGAGACAGAGGCAGCAGTCAAAATAGAAGAGGAATGCTTGCAGATTTATGTGGTTAAACCTGCCGGCTGCACATGTTGTTTTTCACCAGCCCCAACTGACTTGTAGTGCCAAAAAAACTCCTAAAACTCATCCTGATTCATCTCTTTAAAATGATACCGCCTAAGGAAGCTACAGGAAAATAAACTTTTTAAGAGTATCTATGCATTGTTTAATTTAACGAGTGAAGTGAAGACCATTCTGTGAAAGCAATGATACCCTCAGGAAAGGCAATTAATACTAGGCTGCGCTGCTGCTTTTGATGCTGAAGGGGTCTGTGGGTGAGATTCAACAGCACAACTTGTTTTATGCTATTGCCTACATACGTTTGTTAGAACCAGTTTTTCAATTTCGTTTTCTTGATACCAATGCCAGATATGTGGTTTGAGATACTAAGCGAACGGGAACTTTTAACAAGCTGTGTTCCAGAACAACTGTAACCTGGAAGCCTTGTCCTTGAGTGGCGGTTGGGCTAGGCCATGCAAAATAGTTGTTTGAAATTGTTGCATCTATGTTTATAACTAGGGTGGGTATCAGAGGCAGAAGAGTTCAGCAAGCACCACTGGGATGAGCAAAATGTGGCAGGAAGTTCAAGAACTAATAACAAGAATTTGAAAACAGTGCTGGCTGGCAGGAGGAGAGTTTGTGTAGGTGGATAGGCTGGAAAGATGGGATTGCTTGGGTGAGGTTCAGTTTGAAACCTGTGGACTGCTGAGGTAACGTAAAAGAGGGAAGGTCTTTAAAAAAATAACAAAACACCTGGGCCATCCAAGACTTGGAAGAGTCTTCATAGGTGCTTACAGTAACTTTGAATTTCTGGCATGTGTGCAAAGGTATTTCAGCCCCAACAATTAATGCATAATTAGATGTGTAGGGATTTTATCTGTTTATTAACTAATTTGTTTGGCTAGCTGTTCAGGAAAAAGAAACAATTTGGTAATTATAGAGGTGTATTTCTTTTGGTATGAAAAGATAAATGAAGCCTATCACTTACTGAAACTCTTCCCTGAATTGATATATTGCATGTTTAGCTGGAACTCTGCAGCTTTAAAAAATGATTATGTACATACTGACATTCCACCACTTAAATAATGTATATTTACTTTCCTAAAGCAGAAGCAACAGGTAATTATCATGTTTGTGCATAACGTTTGTGCATTTATTTCAGAACTACATATACCCTAAAGCAATACTGTTAAGCTTCTCTCTCCTAAGGAAATATGTTTATCAAACCCATGCAATTTGCTTAAAAAAAAAAATTAAAAAGTCTTTCGATTTCCCTTTTTTTTGCGTGACGGTAGTGGTTATGAGTAACTTCCATAACAAACAAGTAGGCATGTGTCACAGAGGAAAATCCTATATTGCTAAGGAAACAGAATTGTATACCTTGGAGACTGGGTTACAATGCTCTTCATTTCTCTCTAGGCTTTTAACTGTGAAGCATGATTAGTTGTAATTGAATCCCCTGCCAAATTGGATTTTATGGCATGGAAAGGACGGGCAGTTACTTTTAACCATGATCTGAACTAAGATAGTGCCCATGCAAAATGAAGCTAGTAGTTGTTTTTGAAAACTCAAAAGTAGTGGGGAATGCGGTTTCTCTAAGTGTGGGCATTAACTCCTTCCACCCCTGCCTTCCCCAACAAGAAGTCGACACTGAATATTAAAACTCTGCTAAGAGAAAGCAGTTTTCACCACGTAAGGTCAACGTCACCATGTCTGAAACAATTGTCAAGCAGCTCTTTTTGGTGCCAACTGTTTCTGAGTACGGCTGTGACTGTTTCTGGCCTTCAGCACAAATAGATCTATAGGTAGAGCTTTTGTATGTCACTGTGGCCCATATGAAATGTCTGATCCTCTCCAAGGTATTTGGTGCTCAAGGATGTGAAAATGAAAATTCCTTTTTTTAAAGTGTATTTTGAACTGAGATGTAATAGGGGGCTCTACTGACGCCTGAGATCACCACTTCCAGTCCCACTCAGACTGCTGATAAACTTGCTATAAGCTGTACCCTGAAGGGGAGCCTTGCATTTCACTAATGGTCCAATTGTCCGTGCCTCTTCAGTCTCCTTGGTCCTAGTGGCAAAACCTGTGTTTTACGATAGCAGGGATTTCTTTATGCTGACCTCAGCTTTTGGGGGGGAAAAATTCAAAGTGAATCCCCCATTTTTTTCCACAGATCCAAGTCTGCTTTGACACAGTCTTTCCAAACCAGGGTTAAAGTACCTTGGCAGAGCCACAGTGGAAAGCTGTGCTTGGAAACAACAAATTAGGCAAATAAAATGATTAATGTAAAGCACAGTTATCTAGAAAGGCTTGGGTTTCGATTGAAACCACGCATTTCTTGGTGACTATGACAGGAAGAGTTTCTAAAGACTCTTTCTTCCGGCCTCGCCTTTGCTCCACGCTCCGGGACAGGCGCGTCCAGCAGCGTAGGCTGAGCCCTCTATAGCAAAAGATGCCAGCAACAGTTCTGGAGGGACAGTTTTCCTTCCTTCCTCTCCCGCGGCTG